TAAAAAAGAGACAGCATAGAGAATTTTGTGTTTTCAGGCCTAAATAAAGTATATAAACTGAAATAAAATTTACAAAACTTTGTTCTTTGAAATGTGTAAATTAGTCATGATTTTGCATTTATAGAGAAGACCCCTATGGTAAGATTACACTTAAAAAGAATTAAAATTTTTTCTGTATTCATAAAACAAACAAACAAACCAAAAGCTTTCTTCTTAGCAAACAGTATAGTACAGTTATGGAGGGTTCTAGAGAGAAGGTCCAGTGTGTTACAAAGCTGCCAAAAACTGACTCTCATATGTGCATGAAGAAGGAAGTAAAATAAAGTGGGTGGTCAAATCAAAATGATAATCAGGAAAACCAAACCTACTCATGGGAGATGTTTACTGAAGCAAAAGAAAAAATCGTCTTCATCACCATCTGGAAACAAGCAGAAGACTAACTGTCAAAAAAAAAGTAAAACAATAGCATAAAATATATCTGTGGAAGCCGGGCATGGTGGTGCAGGCCTTTAGTCCCAGTGCTCAAGAGGCAGAGGCAGGAGGATCTCTCTGAGTTCAATGCCAGCCTCATCTACATAGAGTACCAGGCAAGCTGGGGCTATAGGGAGACCCTGTAAAAAGACCAAATAAATAAATAAATAAATAAATAAATAAATAAATAAATAAATAAAAACTGCGCAAAGAAATGAAAATAGTTATAAGAATTAAAGAAGAGGCAGAGAATAACTTAATTCTTTAAAGACATTGTCCCCTGTGTAGCCCTTGCAGGCTTCGAATTTACTATATAAATCAAGGTAAGCTTGAATTCATAAATATACACGTGCCTTTCAAGTGTTGGGGATAAAGGTTGAGTCACCATGGCTCGGAATCAGGCACAACCTAAATTTGTCCTAAGACATAATTCATTCTTGATAAATTCATTGGCAGCTTTGGTAAGGAAAAGAAATGAAAAGCAGAAAATACCAAGAACTCAAAACATTAAACACAAATAATTCATTAACAAATAAGCAACAAGTGGAAGAGGACATTCTCAAACAGAGAATTACTTGCCAAAAATACAGTATGGAAATGTGCCACATCTGGAATCATAAAGAAGTCCAAATCTAACTGGACCTGAGATTCCAGCACTTTCTAGTTAGAAGGTCAATTCAGTAGGTGCTAAACACTAGCAAACTTCAGAAACAACAGAGTCAGAGGAAGAGTCCAAACTCCCTGTTGGGGGGAAATCCAGTTTCTTGAGACCACAATGCAAATCAGCATAAACATTCCTAAAATCATATGAAAATGATACAACACAATCTCAAATATAGCTTCTGCATGGAATTATTTAATAACAAATTGAAATAGACTGTTGTAATATTCTGGTGGCTATTAAAATCCCTTTGATACAAAAAAATCTCTAGAGCACATAATTGTAAAGAAATTCATAAGGAATGAAAACACATTATAAACATAAACATGTGTATTTATTAATATAACAGAGAAAAAGTTAATAAGACATCAAAAATACAGAAAAACTAATAAAATGGTAATAGTGTGTTCTTTCCTTTCACTGACCTCTTAAATTATCAAAGGTTAATATTCCCTAAGCAAAAGGCACAAATATGCTTCCAGAATCAAGAAAAAAAGGAAAAGAAATGTAATCAAATTTTGTATTCTCTACAAAGAATTCACATCACTGGGCATAGTGGCATACACTTTTAATCTCATCACTTGGGAAACAGAGGCAGGTAGATCTTTCTGAGATCAAGGCCAGCCTGGTCTGCATAGCAGGTTCCAGGTCAGCTGGGGTTACAGAGTGAACAAGTGTCAAAAACACCAAATAATAAATAAATAAAATAATAGAAAAAATTCACATCAAATCTAAGACAAAAATGGTTAAGAATGTAGGATTTTTTAAAAACTATCCCTTGAGCTGGGAGTGGTGGTGCATGCCTTTAATCCCAGCACTCGGAAGACAGAGGCAGGAGGATCTCTGTGAATTCAAGGACAGCCTGGTCAACATAGTGAGTTCCAGAACAGCTGGGGCTACAGGGAGACCCTGTCTCAAGAAAAAACCAAAAAAAAGTTATCCCTTGAAATGTACAGTAAGAAGGAACTGGGGTGGACATAACAGGGAATTCAAGGAAAAGTTATCAAAATTAAAATAAAGAATTTTTTGGTCTTTTTGAGATGGGGTCTCCCTGTAGCCCCAGCTGTCTGGGAACTCATTATATAGACCAGGCTGGCCTTGAACTCACATAGATCCACCTGCCTCTGCCTCCCAAGTGCTGAGATTGAAGGCATGTGCCACCACGTCTGGTTTCAAAAAAATAAAGAATATTAATGAATGTTAAAATGATCCATTCACTAGAAAGCTATTTTATGAGTAGGAACACATTCCAGTAATAGCTTCGAAATACATGAAACGATAATTGAAAGGATTGGAAGAAAAAAATGCATGATACTAGAATATGTCAGTGTTAACACTGGATGATCCAGACAGAATATTGATAAACATCACGTGACACACGACTTAAGAAAACCCAGCTATTCCTAGCAGCCCTACAGAGAGTCAGTCATACATCAAAGGACTCGGTCTTCTCAAAATTCAAGAAACAATATACATGGTGGATTGCATCTTACTACTTGAATGATTCTTAGAAATTAAATATCAGCATTTAAAAATTCTTTTTTATGATCAAACTTGAATGTAGACTTCAACAGCAGATAGCAAAGAGAAGAATCCAGGAGTGACTAGTGGAAACTGACACACTGTTGGCATGACCTTATTCAAGGACTGGAAAATAATACAAAGGAGGGTTACACTTTGACAACATTCTGATAATGCCCAGAAATCCAACCATTTTTTGTCAGAAACAGAGAAAATTCTACTAAAATGTATAATCTCCAGAAATCACAAAAAGATTTTTTAAAATACTGAGAGAAGTCAATCCAGAGGCACCATATCTAATAACATAATAAAATTATAGTAATGAAAAGCTTTAGTATTGGTTTGAAGACAGAATATTGGAGACATTAATGGTATCAGAACATAATCCCAAACAGGCATAGTTAAATAAGATTTCATTTGCATATTTGTGTTAATGCTAGCATAATTCCAGTTCAATGAGGGACAAAGTCTTCTAACACTTACAATAGGATATTTCTTGAGGACATTATGGTTAGTCAGACTCTCAAGAATAGTTTCTAGTGAAACGGAATACACTAAAACCATTTTTAGATCTTCCTTTCTTTTTGAGTTGAACCTCTCACTTTGACCTGCCACAGTCACTCAAACCCACCTTGCTGTTTGGCTGTTTTCTCCACTCTCTTAACATTCCAGGGTATTTTGATTCCCTCCAGACAGGTGGCCAAGTCTGACTTCCACACAATTTTACCTGTGTATTAGTAAGTAGTACAGGACAGGGATGGAGAGATGGCTCAGCAGTTAAGAGCACTGGCTACTGTTTTAGAGGATCCAGATTCGATTCCTAACATCTATATGGCAGCTAACAACCTTCCATAACTCAAGTTCCAGGGGTTCTGACACCCCTTTCTGATATTTGTGGGCATTGCCCTACAGGGGTACACTTACATACATGCAGACAATACACTGATACACATGAAATAAAAATAGTAAATCAAATATTTGTAAAAGAGACAGGCGTGGTGGCACATGCCTTTAATTCTAGCACTTAGGAGGCAGAGGCAGGTGGGTCTCTGTGAGTTCAAGGCCACCCTGGTTTACATAATGAGTTCTGGGCCACCTGGGGATACAGGGAGAGCCTGTCTCAAAAAAATTTTTTTAAATAAAGTGGTGAAGGACAAGCACTGGATTCACTGAAAAGGACACACAGTGCTGCACTCAGTAAAGAGACAACATAAATGAGGAATCTAGAACTGTTTTCAGTTGTTATTTGCTTACAGAACCTTAAAAATATTTTGTGGGAATTTTCTCTACATATATTGAATTATTTTAGTTATAGTTTTATTAAATCAAGGTTGAAAATGGAGTTGTAATTTACATGTCGTATTATTATTTGCAACTGAGTTAGTGTATTTATCATGGGACAAAAATGGAGGCTCAATACACCTAAAGAGGGAAACATAAGATAAAACAAAATAGTTTGAAAATGTTCTTTCCTACCTTGAGAATTCCCTAATTTCCTATAATTTTTAACACAGTTCCACACAGGGTTTACAACCTGCAAAGTTTGATCAAAGAAAGAATGAATAAGGAATTCTGGAGAAAGATATTCTCACCCACTGATACAAGGTTACTGTAATTCTTCAACATCACATCAATGTGTGAAACCTTCTGAGCAGAGTACAGGCATTTCCGCTCCTCCTGGGAGAAGTACACAGTCACATCCCTGAATGTCACCATAGCATGAAATTTAAAATATCACTTTTACCATGTGCTGCTAGGCAGAGTGCTTTCCTGAACACATGGAGATGTAACGGACTTGGGGAAATTTTCTGATGTGATGAGTGATCGCAATTATAGAGAAAGGTACTTTCCAGTACAGTCACAGTCTACTTTTTTTTTCTAAAGGTTTTTGAAATTTTGTTTATTTTATGTATCTGAGTGTTTTTCCTGCACAGATATAAGTGCACCCATGTCATTCAATGACTGCCAAGGCCAAAAAGGGTGTCAGGTTCCCTGGAACTTGAGCTACACAAAGTTATTAGCCACCACATTAGTGCTGGGAAACAAACTCGGGTCCCCTGCAAGAGAAGCCCAAACTCTTAACTACTGAGTCATCTCTCTATCCCCCTCTACCATGCAGGTTGTAACTCTGTGGTGACAAGATAGTCTTATAATCATAACACATGATATATTAGAGTATAAGATATAAATTCAGGATCTGAACATAGTAATCTACCTTTTCTGAGTTTACATCACATGGGAACATAGCTTATGTGGAAAATTAATGAGGAACAAAATTGTGCTTTCAAATGCTGATGTCCTTAACTGTAGATCTAGCTAATATATTAATTGTGAACCATCTGATCTATCATTAGGCCTTACAAGAATATACTCTAACAGTATCACTTGAGATGCTAAGGCCCTAGGTAAAATGCAACACTCCTTGAATAGAAATGAAGAAGTAGAAAAGAAATCAGAAAGTTGATTCTTTCACAGTAACAAGGAGTAACAATTGTATGTAGTACCAGTTTTCCATACATTGACACATAATATCAAGCAGTCTATGGCACTTTAATAAGAATATATTGGTCATTATGAAGTAATGGAAAAAATAAACATTAACACTGGTGATATAATCTTAAATTTTCTAAAAGTAAGCACAACCCAGCACAGGAAGTAACAATTTCAGAATTTTCAAAAATTCTTCCATTACTCAAGTTTTCAAAAAAAATTAGGGAAGTCCAGAGACACATCAAATAATGTTTAAATTCCATATAAACACAGATGCATAAATGTACTAAGTACAGAGATAGAGGAGAATGATGGCCTGTGAGTAAAATAAATATATATATTTTTCTAGAGTCTGTTTGCTGAATTTATTCATATTGTTGTATAAACAACAATTTATTCTTTTTCATTACATGATAGTCCATTCTACATCTAGATATTCTACCATTAATGAACACTTGAGTCATTTCAGTTTTGCACTATTATTCTGCTTGCACGATTTCTCTGGTCTGTATTGTGCTCATACATTTACTTGGGTGAGTATATATTTTTATTTCTGTGGAGTATTACATACCTAGGAGTGGGACTGCTAGGTCTTTAGACGTATACGTACTTTCTAATGTGAATTTATAGCTTCATATTTTCCCTAGCCTTTTTCTAAAGTGAAGTAAAGTACTCTTTATATAGTAAAAGAAACTCACTATGCTCTGTAGAATTTTTTCAGTTACAAAAAAACAAAAAGGCAACAAAAATATTGTTCACAATTAAATATCCATATTACACATAATGTTCTCAGCTGAAAGACTGTGTCAACATTGAAAGTTCAATACTGACTTCACCAAGGCCTGCCTCAATATGGACCTCACTGAAAAGAAAGGAGCAGTTGTCTTGGCTGTCAGCTCTGACACAATCTGTTTCAGGAGCTCCTTAACAGTGTCAGAAAACAATCAGTTACTGACAGCTTCCCAAAAAATGTGCTGTGAGCTTACAGCGAGGTTATCTACCTCCAAACTGTGATCTCATGTGGCAGAGACAGCACCCTTGCTGCATGTCATCTGAACTCTGAGCTATGTTTTATTTCTTTAGCACATCTGGTCTTATCATTTCGGAAGAGCAAAAGACTTTCTGCATTTTAGTCTTTAAATATGTTTTTTTCTGTGGGTTCAGTGAACTCACAGTTCAGCCAAGAGTTGGACCAGGCTGCTAAACAAGCCATCATGGCCCTATTCAGGCTCCAAAGCTGGCACATGCAATGTACAAAGGAGATCCATCAGCTAAGTGCTGCCCACAGGCATGCCAACACATATTATAGGCAAGGACGTCTCTGAACAGGCTGTGCAAAGGAAACTCACAATTCCACTTCTGACAGATTTTTTATTCCTTTCTCCACTACTACTTTACTCTATTTTTTCCTTCCATTCCCTTTTTCCCCCCACTAGTCTTATTTACTCTGAATTTGAAAATGGCAAAAATAAAAATAGAGAAAACAAAATCTGTCACAAACGTCTTTTAAAACACAAGAAACATCTACAATTAACATGGCAGAATGATACCAAAATATTTTTGAAAAACAATTGTTCACTAAGAACCTAACTCTTTTGAAAAGTAAGGACATTTCAAAAATAATTTAAAGATGCATCAAAAACCACTGGGAGGGGGCTGGAGAGATAGTTCAGTGGTCAAGAGCACTGGCTGCTCTCATAGAGGACCTAGGTTCATTCCCAGCACCCACATAGTGGCTAACAACCTATAACTCCAGTCCCAGGGGATCTGGTTGCTCTCTTCTGACCCTCATGGTCATTGCATGACATGAGTGCACTTACATACATGTAGGCAATACACTCACACACATAAAAGAATAAACACAAAACAAAACCCATTGGGAATCAGCAGGTGGTATGAATGACAGAAGGTGATCATGACTATCTAAAAAGAGAGCAATTTATTTTATGGTAAAAAACCTAAATTCTAACACTGTTCCTTTCATGTATTATCTATATATTTGGAATTATATGAAATTTGCATTAAATGGAGTATATATAACATATTTTATTAATGTTATTTTGCATTTAGTCATATGTGGAAACATAAATGTACCAATAGACAATGACCTGAAAGTTCAGAGATATTATTTCAAACAATTAATTAATGTATTAAATATATTACTTTTTAAGATTTTATTTTTGTGTATGTTTTGGGCATGTGTGTGCGTGTATGTGTGTGTGTGTGTGTGTGTGTATGTGTGTGTGTGTGTGTGTAGGCCATGTATATGTATGTGTCCATGGAGGCCAGAAGATACTGTCAAACCTCCTGGAGTTGGAGTCACACAGGTGGTGGTAACCCACCTGACATGGGTGCTGGGAACTGAACTTGAGTCCTCTACAAGAGCAGGAAGTGCTCACAACCACTGAGCCATCTCTCCAGCCCCCTAATTATATTATTTACTTGAAGAGCTATAACTTTTAATAAAAAATTGTCTAAAATGGTGCTATTGAACAGACCTACTGTTCCTAAGGAAAGATGGCTCATACATGGCCTTAAGTGAGGTTTGCTGTTTTTATGCCAATAATTCAGGTGTAATTGAGTTTTACTGGGCCTCTGGTAATGTTCCTCCTAGCCTTTACCATGGATCTATGCCTCCTGAATTGCCTAGAGGAGCACAAATGCCATCAAAATTAGGGTTCTAAGGACACAATATGAGCCTTAAAAATCAAATTTGACTTATGTCCCAGAGCCAGTGGGGAATGTAATACCCCAAGTACCTCCATTTTATGTAAGTTTAACTGGTCAATCATCTGGTCATAGGACCACACCTAGGAAGGTGGGTTATGCTAAATAGATGGGCAGAATACCTAGTATGTTCATGAGATAGTGACTTTTTCCTGCCTGTAATGTGGCCTACAGGTGCAGGACTTCCTAGCTACAGTCTGTGAGTTGCAATTCAGGGAAGTGTAACTTCCCTTTTTCTTCTTCATGCCTTTTTTGCTAAACCTTCTTTTTTTAAGGCTTTGGGCAGCCCCTAGCATCCTGCATTTTTTAAAATTATTTATTTAATAACCACATACTTAGAAGAAGCATTTCATTACAACAGCATTGACATATTCAATAACAATTTCCAGAGCTAAGATACATCTCTTTCAAAATTGGCTGTAAATTTTTAGGTTTACAGTTGAATTATTACAGCTATACAGTATTGTACTCAGTATAAGCCCTATAAGGCATAAAATCAAATGAGGTTTTAACCTTTAAAAAGATCTCCATTTCATTATTAAAATACACAGTTTCATACAGAAAAAATTCATTTTTTACAGCAATTGTAAAATGAATATGTTAAACTATGTGCTATTGTTTCCACTCATTGTTATTTAAGTACAACACTGCTCAAAAAGATGGCTAAAAATAAAACTTGAGCTATTGGTTATGAATCGCATAACTTTCATTTTGTTTTATTTAGTACTTGGACTGTATTATCTAAGAGGATTTAAGAGAAATCTATACCAAGAGTCAACAAACCCATGCACACCTCATCACTGCTGTGAAGTAAAGGGAAAAAAGAGCAACAAACTACAATCTGAGTCTAAGAAACATCAGTCATGTGGCAAGATCAAGCCACATAAGCATGCTGTATTCTACACATTCTAGTCCGATTAATTGTTTAGGATAATGAGTTAAAACAGCATAACCCCTCTAATTCCACATTTCCATAAATTTCTCAGGGATTATAGCAATCACTTCCATGTCTTGCATTGTGCATGTTCAAGGCTGGTACAAGAACTCTAATACATCCCTGAGATGTAAGTTTCATTATACACAAGTCCTTACTCCCTAATATATAAAAACAACATTGCATTCTCTGAGCATTGGGTATCAGCCTATTTGCTCACCAGTCACATTAGAAACATTTTCACAATTATGGGTCATCAATTCATAGAGAATACTTGCCCTCACAAAAAAAAATCTTGCAGGGGATAGAAAGGAGACAAGGCTGTGCCATATAGGTGACATGGATTTAAAGAACTATAATCTTGATTATCATAAGAAGAAAAAGAGTGTAAGGAACCCCTTTCGATAACATTATCTGAAACAGAGCATTAAAGGCTTGCAAGGTCTTTGTGCATAGCATTTCTAGAAGAAAAATTGACATGAAACTTGCCTGGGATGCATTTACTGGAGAATCAGCCATTTCTCCTTTGTCTCTGAGATTCTGTCTCAGGAGCAATGATCAGAAG